TGGTAGTGAAACCGTGCATGCGGTGGATTGTTGCACGTGGAGTGGTTGGTCCAACGGTGGGACCGAGTGGACAGCATAATCCTCGTAAGTAAACCGAGGACTTGCGACATTCGCATCCTCCCCAGATGTGTAGGAGACCGCTAGCAAGGCGGCCGAATCTGGCAGAGTGAGAGGTGGAATCGCCTCACCTCCCGTGCAACTCAGTTTCCCGAGCTGATGCGAGGTCGAACATCCTCCTTGCCTTGATCCGGGCATTGGGAGGTTTTGTGCTTGGTGCTGTTGCACCAATAGCAACACCCATACCGGCCGCGCCACTTGTATTCGGCCTCGGTCAAATTAAACTTGACCCATGGTGCTGGCTGTCCGTTTCCGGCCGGCGATGCGGTTTTCGCCTTCCCTTTTCCTCAGGAGTTGTTGTTGCTTCGCGCCTGGAAAGCAGCCACCTGATCTCCCTCACATGATGCTTGGGTGGCTGTCGGGTCTTCCACAATGTTGTCTGTGTGGACTGCAGCGACATGCTGCGGACGCGGACCAAATTTACCTTTCTCCACATAGGTTGGCTGCCATGCCGACTTCTCGTATGCAGCCGCCCTATTGGTCTTGATGATCTCCCTTGCCTTGTCAATGATCTCGACGAAGGTCGCGTATTGCTCGTGATCACCAAGTGCAAGGCTCAAGGCGGCACATGACCGGTTGTAGAACTCCCGACGCAGATGCGAAAATGGCAATTCGAGATCGGGCGCCGCTGCGATCTTTTGCCATTCCGTGAGCCAGTCGCGTGTCGATGTGTTGCCTTGCTTCATGCTGAAGAGGCGGTTGATGGCGAGTGCTGGCGCATCGTCCACGATGAACCGCTTCTTCCATAGGTTCGTTAGATCTGCCCAAGGAATGTTTGTGTGCAGATCGACGACGTCGACGCCATGGATGGTTGCCAGGTGGCTAAGCCAGATCTGACATCCGCCCTTTGAGTTGAGGAACAACGTGCCGATGTATGAGCGCTCGGGGACGAAAAAAATCCAAAGTTCCATCGTACAACCCTCCCACCAGGGGACCAGGTCTTGATGCGTACAATCATCGAACTTTTCGATGCGGAATGTCGACATCTTGTAGTGTTGCGCTGTGTTGCCATCCTTGTTGGGCAGCTGGTGCAGTTGCTGAACCTCGGTCTTCAAGGTGTCCAGATGCGTGCTGATGGTGGCTGGTGCAGCGAAGGTGCTGATGTCGCCGAGCATTGCGACGACGTGGTCAACTCGTTCCTCCAATTGGCGGGTAGAGGGTGCACTGCTGGACTCGCCAGCATCTGGTCTTGGTGCAGATTGTTCCAAGTCCTGTACACGGGAATCAAGTGTCCGTGTAGCATCCTCGTGCAGATCCTTGTGGTTCCGCACCGCCCGTTGGAGATTCGCCAGCTCGGACTGCAGGTGGTTACAAGTGTAAACCAACCGGGTCACGAGTTTGGCCAGGAACTCGTTGTGTTGCTCTTCCGGCGTCGCGTCGTCGTGCTGCTCAGATGGCTCAAAATGCCAAAACTTGAGCTTTTCGATGTTGGTGGCTTCATGCCGCTGTAACAGATCCTGGGCCTCCTTGCGGCGTGCCTAGGTATCTGCTTCGGCTTCGGCTTGAAGCCGCAGCTTTTCAACTGTTGCCGCCGCTTCAGCTTGTAGGCGGGCAGCCTCGGCTGCCGCCTGACGCTGTTCCTCAGCCTCGATCAGTGCGAGCTGAGCTTCGAAACGTTGTCGGTACTCGGCAATGGTCTCATTGGCCAATTGGCCTGGCATGCCCAGAACTGAGCCCATCATGGTGGAGGGGCACTGCTGACGTGGCACTGTGGCATTGCTGACATGGTACTTCTGACATGGTACTGCTGACGTCGTACTGCTGACGTGGCACTGTTGCTGACGTGGCACTATACCAACCCGGGAATGCATGCAAAGGGGTGGGTGGGAGGGAAAACGCAGGTAGGTAACTAAGCCAGCTATACTTTCCTCCCGGTCCTAATCAACAGACTAAAATAAATAAAAAATAAAAGAAGAGGATCACCCCCCTTTTTTTTTTGTTTTTTTTTTATATTTGTCGATCTGCTATGAGTGAGGTATGTCAGAAGAGTACTATGAGCGAGATCTAGGCCAAGTTTCGCAAAGTTTGGGCTTTCACAAAAATGCGATCTTGAATTTTTTTTTTTGCGAAATAGAGTAGAGATGCGATTTTCAGAAAAGAACTAAATCCAGTTTCTGAGAATATGGCAACTTCCTAATATGCCTAAAACGAAATGCTGGTAGGCTTCGCAAGATTTCCGTTTTCAAAAAAAAAAAAAAATTGCCAGATAGAATGGAGATTCGATTTTCAGAAAAGAATAAATCCGGTTTCCAAGAATATGACCACCTCTATCGTTATCCTAATATGCCTAGAAAACGAAATGTTAACATCAGAAATTTTCGGCTATATATGCGAATATCAGAGAAACGAAATGCTACTATCAGGAATTTTCAGATAAAACGAAATGCGATTATCAGAAATTTCAGATATTTGTTGTGTGAAAACGAAATACGAATATCAGAAATTTTCAGGTAAAACGAAATGCGATTATCAGAAATTTTCAGATATTTGTTGCGAGAAAAAATTTCAGAGATTTGACGAAGTCCTACTTGATTTACTAATGAGTAATCAATAGATCAAGCAAGCTGGCTACTTGATTGAGCGGGTCCTCTGAATGAGAGGTCCGCTCCGATACCAAACTGTTGCATACTGTAACGGTGCAGACCAGAACAAGAACCGACCTCTCTCCCAAAGTACAAGATAGCGTAGCGGAAGACTTAGATACCAATGATCCGAACAATCAATATTGCAATGCAGCCCCGAACATACATCATCATCATCACTCCATGGTGTGAAGGGGCCTGGCGCTCACACAGGAAGAATGCGCCAGTCCCCAACCATACACAGACGAAGAAGAGGGGGGTTAGACAAAGAAGAGGGGAAGATGGGAATGTCGTCAACACCAAGTCTTCGGCACAGGCCCAAATAGTCCCTCGTCAAACGTCTGAATCCCAATGTCGACTCTGGATCCAATGTCGTCAAGTCTCAAGTCACAACTCTCTCTCTCTGTCGTAGTCCGCTGATACTGAGA